GAAGGTCAGGGCCAGGGTCTGTGGTGTCCAAAGAAGGTCAGGCCAGGGTCTGCAGTGTCCAGGGAAGGAAGGTCAGGGCCAGGGTCTGCGGTGTCCGGAGGGAGGTGCTTGACCTTTCAAAAGCCTCCAAAGATTTTCAAACAGGGAAGTACTGTGTCATTATTTTAAAAATCACCCTGCTGTGAGGAGAATGAGTATTAAGAGAGAGTCCATGGGAGCAAATGAGCAGGCGGTGTTCTTCCGGAACATTCAGTGTGTTCCTTCTCTATTACTATTGGCTCTCTGCCTCTGTCTCTGCCTCTATCTCTGTCTCTTTGTCTCCCTCTCTGTCTCTCTGTCTTCCTCTCTCTCTGTGAAATACATAGTTTAAGAAGAACATTAAATAAAAATCCACTATAGTCATTTCTGTCTCCCCCTCCCTTGGTATGATATAAAGCCATGTTAAAAAAAACAGGTTTCGCTTAGGGAAAAAAAAATCACCTTAATGAGTGTTTTTTGGTTGGAAAGTAGAACACGTTGAAAGAAGTGAATGACTCTGGGTGATAAAACCTAAAGGAGACGACTGGGAAGTGCTGGGATGCTCAGGGGGCAGCAGAGACCTTCAGGGTATGGAGTGTGCTTTGTGTGAAGACAGCAGTAAACTGGAGGATAGCAGTGACTAACAGCCTCTCAGCGTTTCCAAAATCCTCTTGACCTTTCCTTAAAAAGATTTAATTTATTTTTATTTTTCGATTGATCATGTGTGTGTCTGTGTGTGTATGTGTGCACGTCACACGGATAAGGTGCCCTCGAAGGCCAGAAGAGGATGTCAGATGCCTTGGAGCTGGTTTTATAGGAAGTTGTGAGATGCTGTGCATGGCTTCTGGGAACTGATCTTGGGTCTTCTGGAAGAGTGACAAGCACCCTTCCCTGAACCATCTCTGTAGTTCCCTTTTTAAACGTTCATTGAAATTCTGGTAGGTGCAACAGCTTAAAGTTAGAAGTGTTTTAGGGAACACAAGAAAGGTTGGTATTCAGTGTGGAAAAGGCAGTGTTGGAAGGGGAGCCCAGCTCCCAAATCTAACAGTCATGGAGTAGTCATAGGTCATGAGGTTACTGATGGAGGGAAGGGAAGCATCATTATCTCATCCTTGATTTAGGGTTGTGGTTTGTGTCTTTGTATCTTTTTATTGGGATAGATTAAATGTTTACTTCACAAGTCTGGAGTGTTTAGGGATATTCAGCTAACAAAGTGGTGTGTGTGTGTGAAAGAGACTACATGATTATATACATATATGTGTGTATATTTGCATATATGTGTATATATACATGTTCAATCATTTAAAAGTCTTCTTATGCATTTCTAGTATAGATAATTATCTGTAGATAATTATATCTGTACCTTCACCTATTTCCAGAAATTTCTTTATTAGGTTTCTAAGTATAGAATAACACTCTTAAGAGAAGTCTTTGGGCTATAAGTCATGGTCGTTTCAGCATTTTAAGGGTAATGTGATGGTAAGTTATGGTGTTGGATGTAGAGACATTGACTCCCTGGAATTTCAATCTAAGATGATCAAAACAGCAAGAATTGGCAACATTGTTGAATGACATTTAAAGTTAGATTTTTCTTTTCTTTTTTGAATTATTATAATTTCTGCATTTTTTTATTTAAAAGGTCACTGGAAACTAAGAGTTTAGAAAAAGTAGTATTGAGACTGGAAAAAAAAAGCTTTAATCAATTTCTATTCAAACCAAGATTCCTTCTTGCATTTGTTTCCCCTTTGAGAAGGTTGTATGGTAGAGAGAACTTGTGGGGAACAAGGAGGTTATTGTTTTTGTGAAACTCTTTGGTTTTAACTATGACCTTTATCTTACATAGAAGGTAGGGAGGTCTGTATTAAATGGAAGAAACTTGTGGTGAAGGACTAGAAGAATTGTAGCTTGGGGAAGCTCAGCTGTGAAGGAAATGAGATCCTGCACTGGCTACCAAAATCCAGGAGCTGAAATATAAAGGCTCTTTCTTGAGTGGAACAGGAGAGTGACTCAGTTGGGTTGCAAAGACCTTCATTCCTGGGGCATTTCACAAGCTTGAGAAATCCAGTTCGTCTTGTCAGCCTTCAGCTATGCCACCTTTCCCCTCCTCTCCACAACTCGTCTCATGCCCTGTGGCGTTGGTTCAGAAAATGATGGCATCTTTAGATACTTGCATTAACAAAAGAAAAAGTGGGATTGATTCCTCAAGTCTGTGCATAGCTGCAGCCTCCTAAATACACCCTTTTCATAAGATCTCCTGTGCTGGAAGAAGTATAGGAGGACATATGAAAGATTTTAAGGTCATGTCCCCTGTGTTATTTATCAAGCTTAATATTTGCATATATAATTAAAAGTATAGTTCTCTTCTAAGCTCTGACCTTAGGAAATTTCTGAAACACTTAGGAGCACTTTTATATAAATAATGAAGAATCCTTTAGTGTGGAGAAAGCTAAATTACTTTGAAAGTTTACTGTAAGATTACCCTAATCTATCATTGTTTCTTCCAACATTATATTCCATTATAGTTTATTAGTATAGGTACTTTAGTTACATGCTGAATAACGCAGTTATTTCAGCCTTTTTTTTTCCTGGAAAATTTTCTTCACAGTTAGCTCTGTAGCTGTCTAAGGAGCTACACAGAAAGTACAAATTGTTATAGAACAGCAATTTATTCTTGAAAGCAATGATTCTGTCATCTTGTTAGAAGGGAAAACCAAATAACCAAGTGAAACATGTTTTTCCCTTTCCTTCAAGCTCAGATTGTCCCCGCCTCACTGAATCCACGGAAGGCTTTGCAAGGTGCTGCCCCTGATCCCAGCTGGGAATTTCCTTGGTTCTTTCCAACTATTGTGGTTTACTAAGAACAGTCAGTACTCTGCAGTAATCCAAAGCATTCCAACTCCATGATGCTCAGCACTTGGCCTGCCTGTCAAATACACAGCCGCTTGAGGACTGTAGCCAGTGTCCTCTCCATCCCTTCTTTCCCAGGGCTGGCACCAAGTGCAGGAAGGGTAGTCACGACATCTGGGGGTTTAATCTATATACTACATTAGAAAATCTGCTATACTAGGATAAACTGGGACTGCCATTTGCGTTAGGGTGTCTGGGCTAATTGGAGACAGACATCCAAGGATTTGTATTTTTGAACAGGGTTCAGACAAAGGAATTCAATAGGAAGAAAGTAAGGAGAGTGTGTATCATTGGGGAATGCCAAGGAGCACCACCGAGGCAGAGTTTTGTGGTGACTGGGGCACCTGCTCATAATCATTGGAAGGGTCACTGTTGTCTTGATCCAATTATAGCATCACTCTAATGAGCCATAGCTTAGCTTGGGGGGATATGGATATACTTCATCCCCTAAGATTCCCTACATCTTTAGAAGTTGGGAGGATAAAAGAAGATACATGAAAGAGTTAAGATCAAGTTTTCTTTTTCTTTCCCCCCGGCTTAAATTGCATATCAATAATATAAATGGACTTGAATTATCTTCTTGGTTTTAAAGTTGGCTATGAGAGATTCTCAATGAACTTAGGTTTTTTGTCACAAACACTATGAATTAAAAATACTAATCTTTTTGTTTGTTTGTTTTGTTTATGGAACAAACATGGACCAAAAAAATATCTGTAACATGAGAAATAGAAGAGCAGCAGTCATCAGAGATGAGGGCCTTGCAGCTGCCATGGGAGCTACTGGTGTGGAGAGCGCAGGGCCTTACAGCTAGGCGGGTCTCTTCATATCTGTGTTGAGTAACCAGCAGCTTTGAAGATAGAGCTCATAGTCAAACAGGTCCTCGTTCACTCAGTAGAAAGGAGACCCTTAAAAACTGGAGAGAGAGTAAGACTTCAGGACTTTGGGGCTCATGTCCGCATAGTTCAGGGACTGGGGAGATCAAAGACACCATCATGGCTGTTCATGTTGGGTCAAAGAGGCAGAGTCACAGCTAGATCCCTGTTAAAATGATAGAGCCCTTGCGTCACTTGATTTGATAGACAGAAAAAGTAGCAATTGGATGTCTTCACAAGTCCCTGATGTTTCCCCTTTAGTGAGAGAAAATAATCTCAGAGTTCCCAAGGGAAAACTGTGCTTTGGGGGTAGAGAAGCCATCTTTTCTCACGAGGGAGGTATGTTTGAGCAAATGTGTTATCTGTGTAAAAGGCCTTCTCAGATTAGATCAGTTATTACTTGGGGTTTGCGTAGGGGCAACCCACTGGTGAGAAGCACCTCGTTTGGTTTTGTGTTTGAGTGGGCTGAACAAGTGGAGAAGGCTGTGAGGAGCCCAGCGGGCTTTAGAACATTGGTTTCAGTCTCATGTGACTGTTTGGCAGGCTGCCCACCTTCTGCTCTGTGTCTAACGAAGTTCCACATTCTGCCTCTGAAAGCGTTCTCACATGTAGATCCTGTTTATGTAAGAACTTTGATCAGACACCCACAGGCTCCTAAGATCTTTAATTACATTTTGGAAGGGTATCCTTTGTCCCCCTCCTGTTTCTCAATATTTAGAACAGAAAGCTTGCTCTGTTCTCCAGACGCTAAAGTTCAAAAATGGATTCAGCTCATACTAAACTATTCATCTTTCTATGGGCTCTGCTGTGGCCAGTTAAACTGCCTCATATTGCTTCAGGATTGGGGTTTCATGATTAAAAGTGAAATGCAATTAAAAAATAAAATTGGTAAAAATATCCTACTGGCATTTTTGTATCAGATTTCTTGCATTCCCTCCTTTCTCTTAGTCTTTCCTATACTCCTCTTTCTGTATGCTCAACCACGTGTCATTCAACATTGAGGCACCGTTTGTTTCTTGATTCTTCCGCTAGAGCAGCTGCTTGTTCTCTTTTGAAGCTCTCCACTTAAATTCCCCAAGAATTCCAGAGTTTATGTGGTACCGAGAAGGACACAGCCCTTCCCTGCTGCTAAATATAGCAACCGCTGGAGTTCGCTTCCTCGCACTGCTGCTCACAGTTCTCCTGGAGATAAGACCTGAATATCTCCCAGCAATATTTGTTCCTTCCAGCAGAAGCGCCCTTGGTGGTCATGAGCCCCAGTTGTCTGTACCGGTTCTCTGTCTTGTGTGGTCCTGCTACGGCTAATAGAAGTCTCTTTGGGTTCCTCCACACAAAGACATCCTGTGGACAATAACTTACCAGGGCTGAGATCTGGCTGCGTTCTAATGACTTCTCTATCCCCAGAGCCTGGAGTCCCTACTCCTGTTTATACTGGTGACCATTTGCCGCCTAGGTGGAAACACCTTGTCTTTTTTTATCTTCTTCATGTAAAGCATTGCTGTGGAAGACAAAATATGATTGCCTGCGAACCATTTTCCTGTCCTTCTGGTTTTGGGAAGATTTTAATCCCCAGCCTTGCGTGCACCTGGGAGTGACAACGAAGAGAAACACACCGAGAGTATGGGACCACATGACTTGGTTTGGCCTTGCTGCAAAACCTTTCCCATGAGATCTTCCATGCATTCTTCATGAAGCTGGAAGCACAGGATTAGAACTTGGTAGCATCACAACTGAAGGCCTGAGCCATGAGCCATAGTGTAGAGGTGAGGGCTCAGAGAGAAAGAGAGAGAGGGAGAGAGGGGGGGGAGGGAAGGAGGGAGGGAGAGAGAGAGAGCAACCCTGGGGCTATGCAGATGAGAAATGAGGTTTTATTTTGTGAAATTCTGAGATTTGGGGATCCATCTACTATTATGAAATAGTCTAACTTTCCTTAACTGATATATTTATTGTGTAAGGCAATTATCCATCCCTACATAATGCCATGGACGTTCCTTCTGCATTTCCAAATGGAGTCCTTTATATGTATCCAACTTCATTTTAAAAAGTTCCAAGTAGCAAATCTCAATCCCAGAGAACCTAGACAACAATGAGGACTCTAAGAGAGACATCCATAGATCTAATCTACATGGGAAGTAGAAAAAGACAAGATCTCCTGAGTAAATTGGAAGCATGAAGACCATGGGAGAGGACTGAAGGGGAGGGAGAAAGCAGGGAGGGGAGCAAAGAAAATGTAGAGCTCAATAAAAATCAATAATTTTAAAAAAAGCTCCAAGTAGACTTGCGTACTGAATCTTAATATTAAGGAGATTGGCATTTATAACAATGCCTGTATCCCTTTAGCTAAGTTATATTTGGGTGACAAATGACCTCCAAACTAAGAGTGACATGAACAGTTTTTTTTTTCAAGTTAAATGTCCATTATGGGTCAGGTGAGGTTCTACTCCATGTCCTCACTGAGAGATCTAGAGTGACAATGTAGCTTCCACTTGGGTCGTGGATAAGGGAATCTGAGCCCAGTGATTGCGTGCTGTCTCTTAAAACTTCTGCTTATAAGTGACAAATGTCAATTCTGCTTCCACGTAGTTGTCTAAAGCAAGCCTCGTGGCTTAAGCTGATGTTGCGTAGCTTGATATATCCCTCTCAATGGAGGGATATCACAGGAAGGAGAACTGGAATACAGTCATCCCTCACAATCCTCTGAAGACACCACAGTAACTCTGGCTACTTCTCAAAGATGGAGACAGAACTTTATACCCTAATACTCAGCACCTCACACAGTGCAAGGTGGTAGATCAGTTGTTTTCTGCTAGTTTGTTGCTACCTTTGATATGATTGCTGATGAACAAAATAGGCTCAGTCAGACTAGCTTGAGAAAATTCTTAAGACCTGTAACCTATGTAGAAGTGTCTTTTAAACAGCCAGCTTCACTTAGTTCAGAGAAATGTTCATCTCAAGATGCTCTAAACCTTTCCCAAATCCATCACCCTCAGCCCATCGTGTAACACCAGTCTTGCTGAAAAATGAAGTGAAGATGCTTGTGTGTCGCTTATTAGTAACATGCACGAAAGTACAATGGTTTCTGAAATTAATAATAGAAAATTTATGTGGATTCTGATGGGAAATCTCTTTTTTCCCTCGTTCACATGAAAGGGAAGCCCCATCTCTCCTTCCATCCTTTTTGGGAAGCACCCAAGGGGCATTTTCTTGTTTCTTCCCATCTCACACATATTTCTTGCTAAAGTAATAATAGTTAATCTATGCTTAAGAGTCTGTTACTCTCTGAGTTGGGTCCTCTTCCTAGAAAGAGGCATTAGAAGCAGAAACAAAGAGGGGTTGGAATTCAATGGGTGGGTTCTTGCTTAGTATGTAAGAGGGCATTGATTTGATCTGTGATACTGTAAAGAAACAAGATCAGACCTCAAGTTTTTTTTTTCTGGTGGTGATGGTGAAATGGATAAGGAGTGTATACTCTCCTCTTCTTTGCAGTCATCGATGATTGTTAAAGAGACCAGTTTATGGGGTTCCAGTCTTCCTTGGCCTCTTTACCCTCCTTTTTGTTAACCTATGGGACAGTCAGCCAGTCAGGACTTCTTGGCATCTTGGTAGACTTAATGCCCCAGCTCTTGACTTAGGAAAACCCAGTTTGGCTTATGATCCATGCTGAATGTTTTAGTAAGTATTTCAGTAATTTTATAGTGTTTCTGCATCTTCACTAATGAACAGTTAGTGTGCATGTGGGTTACTCTGGATTTATTTGGTGTTTTCAACCTTGAGAAGAATTGGAGATAGTAATTAGGTCCATTCTTGTGGTGATTGTGTGAAGTCCTATAGTTTTGGAATAGTAGGATTTTCTTTTAAGGCATGGTACTCAGTTTAGAATTTATATAAGAAAAATGGTTTGTTTTTTCTATTAGCTAGATTACTAATATTTGTAGTATTAAAGCCATCCTCTGCATGACAAAATTGGGGAAAACTTCAAATAGAAAAATGGGCAAAGGCTATTTACTGCTAGTTCATTAAAGAAGTAGGTGAAGAAAAATTAAATATACTCTTTCCATGCTATGCTTAGATGATATAACCATGTTTTGTGGCTTTCCATTTACAGGTAAGGACTCTCAAGTTTGTAATCTCTGGTTTTAATGTTTCCTTGGGGCAGTGGATTTGCATATTCATCCACACTTACATCTCTTCTGTAATGGCAAAGATTTCTTAAAAAGACAATTCCACGTTTGGAAAAGAATGATGCTCCAACATCCTTCAGACCCGCTTCTCTCCCTTAGCATTCACTCAGGCCCAGGGGCTTAAAACATGAACTGAAGGATATCTATGACTCTTCCCTTCCTTGCCCTCACATACTACAGGTTTTATTGAGCCTACCATCCACATTTCTTGAATCTGTTTACTATTCTCTTTTTGGCAACCTGCCTAGATTTCTTCATTTCTCCCTTTGATCTCCACTGACTCAATCCATTTTTGGTATATTTATTCAGAGGGCATGACTGAAACTATTTGATTGCCCGAGTACTATTTCAATGGTTTTCCGCTTCATCTGTGGCCTTGATTCCCAAGCAGAGGCCGTTCTGTGTCCAGGTGATATCTGGCGCAACAAATGTTACAGTGAGGTAGCACAGAAGTGCAAGGCCTGCTGTCAGTGTCTCCTAGGTAGGACCCATGGAGGCTTACTAACGCCTTGCAGTGCACAGGGCAGCTCTACACATCAAGAATTATTTGATAAAAAAAGTTAATAGTGCTGAGAGAAAGTCTACACTCTGTCTTCAGCTAAGAAGCCTTTCGGAACCTGGTCTTACCCACTTCTCAGTTCATATTCTGTCTCCTTTTCCTTCCAGCTGTCTTCCTACACAAAGCCCTTTAATGGTGGGCTGCTCCCTTTGCTGGATATCACTTTTCCTGTCCCTCTTTTCTTCTTTTTTTTTTAATCACTTTCACTTTTTATAATTTTCTTTTCTTTAAAGCACAAAAATAAATATTTTGTTTGTTTTCCAGGGAATGGCCCAACAATGTACCATAGGCAGGATTGTAGACAGAGACTGCACTTTTGTTTCCCAGCTTCCCAGACCCAAATAATCACACAGAAACCATATTAATTACAACACTGTTTGGCCAATGGCTTAGGCATATTCCTAGCTAGCTCTTACAGCTTAAATTAACCCATAATTGTGATTTATGCTTAGCCATGTGGCTTGGTACCTTTTCTCAGTGAGACATTCTCACCTTGCTTCCTCTGTGTCTGGCAGTTAGCTCCATCTGTGTCTTTCCTCTTCCCAAAATTCTCGTAGTTTGGTTGACTCACCTATACTTCCTGCCTGGCTGCTGGCCAAACAGCATTTTATTAAACCAATATGATTGACAAATATTTACAGTGTACAAGAACATTACCCCACTGCACAGGAAAAATATCATACATTAATTTCTCATACTTTTGGAGTTAAAAGTTCTGATATTAGTGTGTTGGTAGGGTTGGTTTGTCGCTGATATCTCCCCTTGGAGTATGGACAGCTAGCATTATGCTGTCTCTTCATACTGTCTTCCCTCTATAGTCAATCTACATTTTCTCTTCTTATAAAGACACAAATAATACTAGGTTATGATCCATTCTAAGAACTTTATCTTTTCTTTTTAAAAACCCTATCTCCAAATAGGTAATGAAGTACAAAGGGTTAGGATTTTAATGTACAAGTGAGAACATAATTCAATCCTGAGTATACATATGTTTTCCCTAAAAAAAAATTAAGTTTTGTGTGCATGAGGCTTATTTTGTTCAATGCTATAGTGTCCAAAGCACTTAGACTGATGTTTGGCATATAGTTAATAATACATACTCGCTCAATAAATTAGTCAATTTGGTTAGTAGCAATGCCTATAGGATTTGATGACCAATGATACAAAAGAGTGTTACTAACAATTTATTGGTTCCCTTTGGTAGGAGTATCCCCTAAAGTGGAATATTTTTCCTTTTGGTGTCATGAACTTAATGAAAATGAAGACAGAGCTTCAACAACATACATTCACTCAAAGGCCAAGGGATGAAGAAGTGGGAGTATGTTTGACAAATCAGCTGGCCAGCCCCAAGAAGATGAAGCCTCTCAGAAATAGTGTGAGAATAACAAGGGAGAGATCAATGCTAATGTGGAGAGAACTTGGCAGACCTTTTCTTGGAGAAAGTTACAATTTTCCAGGAACTCGAGTGCTACCTCTTTTCACCCCTTTCATGGTCTGGTGTTTCCTGTTCTGTTGGGTGGTTTTTATTTTTTTAACCTTCATGGGGGAGAAGAGAAACCAGATGAGTTCTAAGGCAGGTTGACCATATTATGGCTCCAGAATTTTTTTCTCATATTAGCAATATGTCTACATAAAGAACTGTGTAATAATCTGATTGATCCAAAGGTTCAGACAGCCAAGGAGACACACATTATAAAATAGAAAATGTCGAACAATTTCATCTCATTCTAATTACCTATTAGACATCTGCATGCTAAATCAAGAGTTGGTGTTTATAATAAAATGTGTCTCTAACTCCCTGGTAAGTGACTTAGATAACAGATATCATTATAACCTACACATCAGATAATTCACACACACATACACATACACACACACACACATTTTGAAATAGAGTCTCACTGTGTAGCACTGCCTGGCTTAGAATTTGCTATGTAGACCACACTGGACTTAAACTTACAGTAATTCTTCTGCCTTTGAGTCCATATTTTCTTAAGGACTCAGGATTTCTCCAGTAGTGGGAAGCAGCCACAAAACACACTTTGTTGTTGTTGGTTCTTCTGCTTAGATTTTTAAAACAGGACTCTTGACTCTCAGATGAAAGCAACCCATTCCCAATGTGATGGCAAAGTCACTATGCTTTTCAGGAGAAAAGTCTGTGGAGGAAATGGTCCACTTGGAGAGCTGCTTATAGAATCTTTAATCATCAAATGGCCAATGAGCCCTTTACCACATAGACCAACAGTTTAAATGAGGAGTCGGGGCTACAGGCGAAATGTTTGATATTGTCTCACCCATTGGGGATGAAGGAGGTTGCCCAGGAAAGGTGTGTTGTCTTTTAGAACTTTAGAATGTCACATAAGGAAAGAAGTGACAGCAAAAGGGATTAACTGGGAGAAAGTGGAGAGATGCATTGGTTAAGATAAAGAGTAGGAAGAATGAGGAATAGCTGAGGGAGAGATGCAGAAGAGAGAAGCCTTGTGAAGAGTGAGATGGTTGGATTGGATGTAAATTTGGGGGAATCCTAAGGGACACATACTTAGGAGGTGACTGAGGATGAGGAGAGGTCCCATGGCCCAGACTGTGAGAGGGGACAAAAGAGAAATGCACAGGGTAACAACAGTGATGTGGATTCAGAAAAGAAAGAAAATATAAATAGTTGGTCTGGTCATTGCAATTTGCTTTCTTCTTTGCAGAAACTGTGCAATTAAAACAAAACAACCAGAACAAAGAAGAGAAGAAAACAACCAAACCACCCAAAACATGGCTGTTTTGAATTATTAAGGCTAGGCAATCTCCAACTAGTGAGGTGACTTTGAGTAGCCTTAGCCTGTAGAATTCTCTCTTTTCCTTTGTGAATATTAAGCAGGTAGATCAAATGATCTCTGGCACCTAACAGTTCTGCGACTCTAAAGCATTTGTTATTTTCTAATTCAAATCCCAGATATTCTCTTCTAATGCTCAGGGTTCTGTTTAGAACCCCAGTTCATACTACACAAGCTGTATGTTTAGGCCTGGCTAGCCCTATGTATTTGTTTTCTGAGTTGAAGTCTGCAGATCTTTAAGGGAGAAATACCATGTATCTTTCTGGAAATCACAAGTGACCTAATTTCTCTAGAATGGAACGTGACCACATTGTTTATATTTTGTTTGTTACCAGGCAATCGAGATGAAGACTCACTCCTAGGATGTTGTGTCAGTTGTCCTTTGTACCTTTAGTGCATCGGCAGAGGAAAGAGGGTAAAAGCTGCTTCGGGGAGCAGAGGCGGCTAGAAGGAAGGTAAACAATAAAGACACAGAAGCAAGATGGCAGTGGTGGAAGGGAAGAGAGAAGCCCTTGGTATAGTGGAGCATCAGAAAGCCTTTTCTGCCGATGAAGCACAGAAGACAGTAGTGCCACCCAGCTGATGATGTCCAGTCCCAGCAACGCCACACCACACGGCACTTGCCTCCGTCCAAATGGTGAGCTTCACAATGTGTTTCTATGATCTGGATAGTTTTACACCCAGCAGAATTATACCCTAAGCATTTCTTGGCAGGAACTGCCTCAATGCAAGGTCTATCAGCCCTTCGGAGGAGTGACTCACACACTTAATGGCTATGTGCCTTTCTCCGGAAGCTAAGCTGAGAGGACTTAGAAAACATTCTAAAAGATGCATTCTTTATTTTACCTTTGAAATGAGAGTTGGCTTGAACTGTGCAAACTATTTGCTTCTTGTTTCTTCAGCGTCACATATTTAGTTTCCATCACAGGAGGCTCTTCATGGGATGACTCACCATCCGGTGTGGACAGAGAACAAAGCTGGGTTAAAACTTTAACAGTATTGATGCCATGATGTCCCTCGGTGGCCATATTGGTTGTTTCCATATTCTCTGCAGCATTCCCCCACCACACACACATATACATGCACACACACACTTACAGATTTGCTATATTTCCCCCCTTTGCCTCCTCCATTTTCTTCTAATAAGATAAATATGGGAACTCAGAAGGATGGAAATTTGGCCATAATTGGCCATCCTGAGGGATGTGTACACATGCCAGATTTCAACACGCAACCAAAAAATCCTTCACTGTGCGTGCACGGCCTTCCATGAAGACCCCCTGTTGGGGCCTTCAGTGAAATATGGTCTTCTCAGAGGCCCTCTGTTGGGGTGTTCTGTGAAATATGGTCTTCTCAGAGACCCCCTATTGGAACCTTCAGTGAAATATGGTCATCTCAGGGACTCCTGTTGGGGCATTCAGTGAAATATGGTCTTCTTAGAGACCCCCTGTTGGGGCATTCTTTGAAATATGGTCTTCTCAGAGACCCCCTGTTTGGGCCTTCTATGAAATATGGTCTTCTTAGAGACCCCCTGTTGGAATATTCTTCGGCTGATTCTTTGGTGAGTGTTATTTTTGGGAAAAGGGCTGAGGAGGGACAGCAATCTGTAAGAAGAAAGTAATTAGAGACGTGGGACTAATGCAGCCTTTGCAAGACCGAAATAATCCAAAAAAGAGAACATAGCTTAGAGGTTTTAGACTTTACTTCAAGTCGAGGTTATCAATATTTTGTGGATCTCACTATAATCTTGTGATTTTTCTATTCATTTATTACTATACCTAAATCATTACTATTCAATGACATCGCCTGTCATTAACAATGATCATAAAAGAATTTTCATCTGTAAGCAATTCTTAAAATGAAATATTTGGGGAATGATTCTTAGCAAGGGCTGGCTCTTTGACAGTCACTGCAAAGGCCATGTGTACCCATCAGAGTGGAAATGATTAAAACCAGATCAATTCAATGACGTTACATGCTCATATGTTTATGCAGGGTTCATGGTAAGAACTTTTTCTTTCAAGGATTGGTACAGGTACCTCATGAGAGATATATAGGGACCTGGCACTATAGCTAAATTTCAAAAGTGATTGCTTACTATAATTTATTCTAATCTAGTCAACACTATTATTCTCAAAACTAAAAAGTAATTTCTGTTATTTTTATCCCTCTTCTATCCTTTTCTTGTGTCAATATTTTAAAGATTGAGCAACAACTGGAACAATAATTAATCTGTTTTAATCTTTCTTAACCAAAAGAGACTATACCTCCTGTGTATACAAATAATATCACCGGGCCTAGTGAAGAGAGAACAAAATTATGTTTGGATTTCTAGACTCAGTGGAAGTCTCTGAGGTGTTCAGCTCCTGATTAGAGGCCTATGTATGATCTTCCAGCCATGGCCATAGGCAACTGTGTAGTTTTTATCCAGCAGGCCTTCAGGGACAAACTGCCTTCCCAGGCAGACTTGGGGCACACTGAATGCATTGCAGTTTCTGAAGTGGGTAACTGCCAAGGATTCAGCTCCTCCTCCAACCCATCCTTTCATGTCACGTGGTCACATCCTCAGCCAGGAACTTTCTTGTCACCTGAGGCTCAGATTGGGACTTAGGCTTAGTTCTTACCCTGTAATCTCTTTCCAGGGTCTAGGAGGGAACCTTAAAGCTAGATTCGCCTCTAACTTGGAACCAGTCTGTGTTTATTCCCAGCTCTTTCTTCTCCCACTCTCAGGCTCCTTTTCATCACTAGTGAAAAAAACAAAACAAAACAAAACCCAAGCCTGTGATGATCCATCTGCCTCTCAGAGTTATGAGCTCATAACTCCCATTGGGAGGTTATTGATTTTCCCACTTTCAGCTTCCTCCCTGTCCACCCCACTAGGAGGTTTGATTTGTTTAGAAATTCCTGTGACACCAGCACCCAGTGCGCCTGAAACTGACCTCCTTATGGGTCGAGGGGGGCCCTTTGGTTGGAATGATCTTAGGTGAATCTTTTAAGTTTTCTGAGTTTCTGTTTTATCAAAAATCAGGACTCTATTACTTGTTCCATGAAGTTGTGACGATAGTACCCAATGCTTATGAAACATATTCTACCCAGCAGGCTGAGACTCAATTCTTGCAACTAAGCTGTTAATCAGATACAAAGCATGACACACATGTATGTGGCCACTTCTCTTGTGCTGTCTAAGCAGATATCAGGCATGTTTTATGGTAAAGGACTTTAAATGTAAATGTTTCCTGAAACAGTTATTGACTTATTAACTCTGACTACTTCCTTTGCTACCATTTTCTGATTAATCCTGGGAGGGAAAGTTTGTCTGTCTACATGGTAGAATTTTCTTTTCTTTGCATACTTCTTGCCAGTTCCCTCTCCCTGTGAGATCTGATGTTTATTTTGTATTCTAGGCACAATGATACTCTAGTTTCCCACAGTGTCTCAGGGTCATTGGCTCCGGGCACAATGATGCTCTAGTCTTCCTCCAGGGTCTCAGGACCATTGGCCTTGTCCTTCATCACTCTGATGAAGCTGATCATCAAAACAAGCAGGAACTACCAGAAAGGTGTTTATGAATTAGAGAATTAAAGCATGCCCCACTAAAGTCTAGGGAAAGTTTGATTCCAGTTTGTTCACATTCAGTCACGCATTTGTTGATCCACCCTTTCCTGACCTTTTCTTCTTATTTTGTCCTCCAAATTTTTTATAGTTCTGAGATAGTGCCCCTAATATATTTCCTTTACCTGAGAACTTGATTCAGTGTCTGATTTCGAGTAACTATATATATATGTATATACATACATATATATATTCTTTTTTACATTTTCTTTTTTGATCTTTTGAGATTATGGCATTATGCAGACTAAAGAGATTGTATTTTAGTGTTTAGGATGCATCCATATGTAATATATGTGTAACATATTTTAACAATAATTAAAGATAAAATAATTTTCAAAAGATTCTCAAGGGATGTAAATCAACACAGCAATGTGATGATACCACTTGAAAACAAAATTAATGCACTTCTTTTATCAAAGGAAAAAAATCATAAATAAACCAAGTCAAATGAATCCTAAGTGGTAGTTGAAAGCCACAGTCACGCCTCACCCCCAATCAGATTGGTCTCATCAGGTGGGAAATAAATGCAGAGTGAGAACATCACATGTTCATATCATAGGATGGAAATGACAAGTTAGAAGTTATTGTGAGCTGTACTCAAATATTTGAGAACTGGGCAGCATGACTCACTGCTGTAATTCTGGCATTTGGGAGGCTGTGGTAGGAGAGTGCCATGAGTTTGAGGCCAGTCTTGGATACAGAGTGAGAACATACATTTTTAGGCCAGGTAATGGTGGCAAACACTTTAATCCCAACACTTTAGGAGGCAGAGGCAGGTGGATCTCTGAGTTTGAGGCCAGCCTTGTCTACAGAGTGAGTTTCAGTACAGCTAGGGCTGTTACACAGAGAAATGTTTCTTGAGTCCCCCATGCCCCAAAAAGAATATACATTTTAACAAAGAGTTTGGGATACACAATGACGCGGTGTTCGTGCCATGGAGACTGTAGAAAATTCACATGCAGGAGATTATTGACTTCCGACTGACCGAAGGAACAGCTGTCACTGAGATGGATGGCCGTGGAGGAACATGTTGCCTTAGAAACAATCTGGGTTTTATTTTTGGTAGTTGAAATGTCAGTTAGTTTTTGAGTGTTGTATATGAATTTTAATGTTATTATTTTTTGAGGACCATATCAAACCAATTCTGATTTAATAACGGGTATTAAAAACATAGAAAATGAAATTCTGTACAAATGTAGTTTACTTTGCTTAGAGGGGGTGGGTGTGGCAGATGTGTCCTCAGTGCTCAGACGCCAGGCTCCTCCCTGAGGAAGCACGCTATTTACCCAACGTTAACTGACCAATATCTCCTCTCCTGCTGTATCTATACCTTAATTTATGCTTACATTTATACAAATAAATGTCTTAGCTGATGAACCTGGTGTCAAAGTCCCTTTTCATACAGTCATTTCTAAACACAAACATTGCTTTATTTCAGGATGACTGAAATAAAACAAAAGCTTATGTTTTCAGGTAGAAGGGAAAACTGAGTCTCCTCAAGCACTCGAAGGGAGGGCACACTGCATATTCTGTTTTCAGCTAGACTTTTCAGTTAATCCCAGCACTTGGGAGGCTGGGATCTCTGTGGTTCGAGGCCAGCCTGGTCTACAAGAGCTAGTTCCAGGACAGGAACCAAAAGCTACAGAGAAACCCTGTCTCAAAATTAAAAAAAAAAAAATTACACCTCAAACTAGACTTTTCTAGGTGATCCTTGATGGTAGATTTATATAGTATGTTCGGCTGCTGTACGGCCAGTTTTTGGCAGCTCAGGAGCTGAAACCGAAGCATGGTGTCAGCAAACTAATCATACAATTGACTTCTTTGGCTACAGGGGTAAAACTTATTTCTCTGGGGCTGGTGAGTGAGGCAAAACTTAGTTCTCTGGGGCCAGTGAAAAAGGGAAAACACACACACACACCTTCAACATGTCAGGATCTATCTTCTTTATTTCTTTCTTTACCACTTTCCTGATCTATCCCTTCTCTATATCTTTGTTTTGTTTTTCCCTTACAGCTTCTATACCCC